TGATTCATAAAAAAATAGTTGTGAATTACAAATACTTAGTTATTAAAAAAATGTTATACTCTGTTATCCACACAATAATATAGTAAACCAGAAAATATTTGTATAACCACTATCTAATTAAATGTTCTATAAAACACTTAACTCTATAAATGTACCGTCATATCACATTATTTAATTAAATGAGCACTAATTATTCCGAGTTTTATTTCATCGTTATTACCCCTGGAAAATATATTCGAATAAACGTTAAAAAGAACGAAACTGTTTAAAAATTGTTATTGTACTATTTACAAAGAAATAACACGTTCTTAAGGAGGTATATCGGGTTTACTAAAATTCACAGGTGTACTTGAAATTTATATAGTGTATTACCCAGTGCTCCCTCTGTGCGTCATATTTTTTTGAAATTTTTTTTTTAATCTAGATTTTGAGATATTGTTGTTGAAAGTTGTTCATTTTAACATAGGTTTATACGGCGAAGATGGACGGTGCGGCTCTTTTTTGCCCATAACTGAGAAAAAAATGTAGAAATTGTGAAACAAAACTTTTCCATAGATAGTACACAGTATTATCTTATTTTTGATGTAAAACTAATGTAAGTTTTGAACATAGTACAGCTGTATTAATTAGAAACAGAAACCAATAATTGCATTTCTGTCTGACTTGAGGATTAATGTGGCAACGTCGCAATCAGCTGACAGCAAGGAGGGAATACATTTGAAAGACTTGATAAAAACGAAATTGATTTCAAACATATACATTTTTCCTAAATCCCATGTACATTGTTATCAACAATAAATTATCCACAACAGATGATTTTTTGTAATGTTTTTAAAAAACTAGATTAATTAAAAAAGACTAGGAAGCTGTGATATATTTATTGGAATAAAAAATACAGTTGATAAATCCTTTTAATATATTTAATGGTTTATAAAAACATCGTAATCATTACCCAGCAATATTTAGGGTTACATAAAGTTTTCTTTACTTGATTAATATAATTAGTAATACTTGAGATAAAAGCATTTGTACGGAATAACAAAGGAACATAAATATTTCTCAGCAAACTTTATATCTAAAAAATTAGTTATAGTTGCAAAACTTTTGTAACATTACTAAAATAGAGATTAAAAACACGAACAGTGAGTAATAATGTAATTTCTATCACAGAACCTTCAAAATTGCATCCAACATTTTCTTTGACTTGGACGAGAGATGGGCGCGAGTGTCATTTCATTTCTTTAGAACTAAATTAACATAATTATTTTCTCGTTGTTTTACCAGTTCACATGATTTACGGATTTTAAATAAAGGATACAAATCTTCGCGAGCATAATACGATATATTTGCTATATATAATAATTATATTTTACATGGTTTATTACACACAATACATTTTTGAACGCGTACTCATCTTTACCCGAATTGATTTGACGCGTAATATCTCCGATGTCCAAGGTCTGTATGTTCGCAGTGTGTATTATTAGCGCTGTTGCCACATCTACATAGTATTTATGCGTTCATTAAATATAATTTAAAACTACTTAAATATGATATTTTTATGTTGTTAATTTTCAATATGTATGTTATGTGCATATTGAGTAGATTTCTTTGCTATATAGATAATGTTTATCGCAAAGAATTTCAATAGAATTTAATTTTTTCAAGTTGGTAGCGGGTTTTAGTCCCATAAGAAAAGCATATGACCCCCCTGCGATCCTCACTTCCCTCGGACCCCGATATATCTCCTTAATTCTAATAGACTTTTTTTTACTGAAAAGTATAATAAATAATATCCTACGTCGCAAGGATCAGTTTAGGGTAAATTATAACAAATAAATTTTTGAAATCGCTGTGGAGATACACAATAAAACATACATGACGGAGTAAATTAGGGTCCTTTTTAATTTAATATAATAAACATTTATATTTCTTTCCTATTTCTATTAGTTTCTCCTATTATTCCATCTTTTTAAGTGATGATATTACAGGAAACCTCTCTACTAGCTATAGCTCCGCCTAGCAGTGGATTTCACCAGTAATATCATTAAGGACAGCTAGACTCATGCGTCGGCCGAACAAACCAGATATATACCGGTTTAGGAGTTGTTAGTCCTCATCAGTATGTCATAGATAAAACAAACTTCTCAATTGATTTGATTCCTTAAATTCATGGAAGAAGTAAGTACAAGTAAAAGCTGTAACTAACATAAGTGCTACTGCTACTACTAGTGGCTTCTGGTACTAACTGCGTCAGACCTACAAAGAAGCCAAAGTTAGTAGCAGTGGCCACTAGATGGAAGACATATTTTACTTGTTTACTTGCTTCATCATCAGGAAAACAGAAATTACAATATATAGAGAAACAAACTTCAGCATACAAACAAAGAGTGAAACAAATATTATGTACTGAAGCAGGAATGTTGTGGTTTAATATAATCTTGATGTTATTGATGTAATTTTACCAAAAGGGTCTAGCAGGATAAGATAAGGTCAGCGGCCCGGCGGGAAAGATATTTTGAAAATGACTTGTGTGGTAACATCAACGAGATATAAATCTACCATTGACACAAATTCAGCCTCACATTTCGCTGCGTTCTGGAGATAATTGATCAAATAGATGCTAGAGCGGGCATTTTTCAAATTTTTTTTTAGAAAACCATTGCAGCTGCCCTAATGAAAACATTAGTCTACATTACATACTTTTTTATAGAATTTTTCTGTCTTATTTACTATTAAAAAATAGAAATATTTTTTTCAAGATTTTGTTCTTAGTTCACGCAGAGGTACAATCATAGAAAAAATATATAATGTAGCTTACTATGTCTAGTATTACTAAGAAAAAGTGAATAAATATAAAATGTGTGCAACACTATCAATAAAAATCAAAACTTTTTATGACCATCTTAGGTACTAATGATCCCATTTGTGACACTTTTATCATCTGTTTGTTACTCAAACATATATTAGGTAGTAGTTAAAAATGTAAGAAAGACTTTCATTTTGACATAAACAGATGAAAATCGTTTGTGGAACGTTTTTAGAGAACAAGACGAAACCTGTCGCTTTCCAGCTAGTCGCGTGTGTGATTGTGTTTTGTTTAAGTATCATTTTTATGCCCGCACCACTATAGTAGCTTGACTTCAATTATCGTGTGCGGATTGTTTGATTTACCTATTTTACTTTATTTTTATTTATCTTGTTTTGTTTTATTTTTGTTTTATTTTGTTTTATTTTATTTTGTTTTGTTTGTTTTTATCTTATTTTGTTTTATTTTATTTTGTTTGTTTTTATTTTATTTTGTGTTACTTTATTTGTTTCAGAAAACAATTTTTTTATCGTTGTTGTTGCAGTGGAACAACCTCTGCTTCTTTCTTCGTTGGCGAAACTCCTCTGGACGGCTAATATGTAGTGGTTGATTTTGGGTTTTGTTAAAATAAAACGCATAATTTTTGTTATTTGTAACGTGTGAGCTGGTGGTTTGCAACCTAGCCGGCCGCGCTCCGAACATTATCAACAGTCGAGCAACTTCGCGCTAGATCAAGCTTTACAAAAGCTTTTGCAATTATGCAAAGTCAAATCACCGTCTATGATTCAATATTACAACGAAAAATTCCACGTTGTAAACAACCAGCTCACACGTTACAAGCAACAAACATCTGCGTTTTATTTTAACAAAACCCTAAATCAACCACTCACCACACAACCACACAAACCACAAACCACAGTAGCCAGAGGAGTTTCTCCGACGAAGAAAGAAGCAGAGGCCGTTCCAGTGCAACAACAACGATCCAAAAACACAAAATAAAATAAAAACAAACAAAATAAAACAAATAAACTAGAGCAAAACAAAACAAAAATAAAACAAAACAATATAAATAAAAATAAAATAAGTAAATCCAACCGAAACCCTGAGGCGAGTCCAAATAAAACAGTTTAACTATAAAAAAATTTAATAATCCGAAACAAGCCGCAAACGATAATTGAAGTAGAGCTACTATAGTGGTGCGTGCATAAAAATGATACGTAAACAAAACCCAATGCACACACGCGACTAGCAGGAAAGCGACAGGTTTCATCTCTTAAAACATTGTAGTTCCACAAACCATTTTCATCTGTTTATGTCAAAATGAAAGTCTTCCTTACATTTTTAACTACTATCTAATATATTTTTGAGTAACAAACAGAGAATATTGGTGTCACAAAGGGGAAGTCATTAGATGATCATAAGAAGTTTTAATTTTTTTTGATAGTGTTGCACCCATTTTATATTTATTCACTTTTTGGTAGTAATACTAGACATAGTAAGCTACATTATATATTTTTTTCTGTGGTTGTATATCTGCGTGAACTAAGAATAAAATCTTGAAAAAAAATATTTTTATTTTTTTAATAGAGAGAGAGAAAAATTGTATAAAAATATATAATGTCTAACGAACAGTTTTTGTTTCATTAGGGCAACTGCAATAGCTTTCGAAAAAAACTATTTTGAAAAATACCCACTCTACTAGTATTTGATCAATTATCTCCAGAACGCAGCGAGATGCGAGGCTGAATTTGTGTCAATGGTAGATTTATATATCGCCGATTAGGGCCNAATTTGTGTCAATGGTAGATTTATATATCGCCGATGTTACTACACAAGTCCACTGGGGCCGCTGACCTTATCCTGCTAGACCCTTTAATGTCAACGTGTAAGTAAAGTGGTGAAATATGACAATAATTATAAAATGTGTTATTGCTTCGATATTAAGTATAGTATAAATAGTTAAAATAATAAAAAAAGTATTTAGTGTAATATACATATATACTTCAGTATTTCAATTATTCCACTTGGATCAATATTTAATGTTGCAGTTACAGTTTATATAAATCTTTGAATAGATGGGCGTTGATTTTAAATGGCCGTCGCCTTTAAATACGCAATCGTTGTAACGTCCAGACCATTTGGTGAACGTCAGTTGCTTCATTGTGATAACAGCCGGTGGCGGCGCTGCAAAATGGAGAATAATTTCTGTTTGAAAGCTTTTCTCCTTCTCGGTGTAGATCCTAACCGCCCTATAAGAAAATGGTTTGTTACTTTCAACAACTTGTTAGCAGCATGGATTATGTCTCTATCTATATTCAAGTGTTATCTCGATAGAAATCTAGAAAATATAGAACCAATAAGTTTAATTATTATGGTAAGTTCATTTTCTAAATATTTATAAATATTATAATATTTATAACTTTGTATATTCTTTTACAGATATTTGTTAAATATTTTTCGCTTGCTTTTGGTGCCAAAACGGCCAAACAAATTCTGGAATCCAAGGAACAATTTTGGGAAGTGGATATTGTTGATGACGAAATAACGTATTTAATTCAATATATGAAAGCAATAGAAAAATGGTATGAAAGTTCCGTAATTGTCGGCGCATGTATATATACAGTACTCCCCTTACTTTCGATACACTCTTCTGTGTTTAACTGCATTATACCTCATTATATACCGTTTCCATTATTTTATATCGTCGAAATTTACATAATTATAGTTAGCTCGTTTGTCTTTGTTTATTTCAATATATTTGTATGTTCTCTCATAGTTTCGGCTACTATTCAATTTAGACTAGTAAATTTGAAAATTAGGGATCACAATCTTAAAGATATTGAAAATAACCGGGATGTTGAAGTGTATGTTCGGAACATGAAGAAGATAATCAAACATCAACAGTTACTTATGAGGTGAGTCTGTTTCATTTTAAATTAACTAGCTTAACTTTAATCACTGTTTGCAATAGGTTGCATGAAATTTTTTATCGACGATCGTGTCCAAAATGGCAATGTTTCAAATAATTTCCAGTGTAAAAATTAGCTTTTATAAGGGCCTGTGCAAAGAGAGTGAATTACAAAATAACTATGTAAAGTATAACCACCCAGTGTTCATACGTAAATAAGTTAGCCTTCCTTGCCTGGTTAGTGTCAGTGTCCAAGCCAGGTATATTAGTTTTCATTTTGCCCACATTTACTTTACTGTCATGGTCCTTTGTATAATTATCTTGAATACTTGACCATGAGTCTATCTTTTCAGTAGCCGATTGCTATTAATTAACTTATCTTAACTATAGGCTGTTGATTATATCCAAAAACACAGGGTTAAAAGGAACTATGACGTTCAAGCAATTTTATTGCATGAATCGTTCAAATGGTCATTTTAGAAAAAACCGCGGAGTGCTATTTAATTGGAGGGTGGAAATTGGAGATATTGTTGAAAATGCACCCTTTCAGTTTTTTAATTGTAGCTCGAAAACGAAGCAAAATTTCGCTATAATTCATAAGAAAAATTATTTAGAGAATTGAATTTTCCATCGAAATAGCTTATTTAAAAAATTTAAAAGGAAAATTTTATGCAAAAAAATCGTTAATAAACAATCTGAAAAAAAAATCGATTTTCTGATTATTTTTACTTTTTTGCCTTTAGTTTTTTTTATTAAAGATAGGTATGGCTTCATAGGAAAAAAGTAGATAAAATTTCCTTCAAAACAAGAGGTTGTAAAGTATTTTTGGATGAAAATTGACTGATATATGGCCGCTCAAATTCTTCGATTTTTGCCAAAAAGGAAGGAAATAAGGCGTTCAAGGATTTTTATCACATGACTTGTTCGAACGGTCATTAAAAATGAAAAAACCGCGGGGTGCTATTAAATTAGAGGTTTGAAATTGAAGATAGGGGTGCAGTTTTTTAAATACAGCACGAAAACGTAGCAAAATTTCGGTATACCTAGTTTATCGAAAAAATTTTGTAGAGAATTGAATTTCTCATCGAAAAAAATGTAAACGAAAATTTTATGCAAAAAATCGTTAATAAACAATTTTAAAGAAAACAAAAAATAAGATTTTTTGATTTTTTTATTATTTTTAATAAAATAATTTATTAAAAACTTTAGAATTTAAGTACAATAAAGTTTATTAATAATGTATATACAGTGTGTCCACGGATGGAGTCATAAATTTAAAAACACGAAAATACTCAACAGAGCAATACCATTATTTATTATTTTACACATTTTTATAAAACAAATCTGTTTATAACCTCCAATAATGGCCTAATACAAATTTTAAAATCAAAATTTCAATTTTCGAGGTGGAAAGTAGCTATACATATAGAGTAAAACTCAGAACTGAAATATTTATTTTAAAATTTGAATTAAGACATTATTTGAGGTTATAAACAGATTTGCTTTATAAAAATGTTGTGTAAAATAATAAATAATGGTTGAATATTTTCGTGTTTTTTTAATTTATGAGCACCCTGTATATCTAATCTAAGATGTTTGTATGGCAGTCTCATTTTTTTTTGAAGGGCAGAACTTTTTATAAATAGTGACATTTTTGGTAAAGTCAAAAACAAAAGAGTTTCTACTCTTGTCAACTCCGTCCGTGGACACACTGTATATACATTATTAATAAATTTTATTGTACTTAAATTCTCAAGTTTTTACTAAATTATTTTATTAAAAAAGTAAAAAAAT